GAACAAAATTTATGTTATTTTGAACAAATGTGTGTAACAATGCCATATTTTTGTATTTTGAACAATATTTATGTTATGCGCCATTTGAACTATGTTTATGTTATTTTGAACAAATGTATGTAACAATGCCATGTCACAAAATTCGGTTACAAAATGTTATCTTGTCAAATTTTGAACAAGGTTTATGTTGACAAACTAAATCATGTCACAAAATTCTGTTATTTAACAAGGTTTATGTTATGTTGTCAAAATTCAGTTGAAAATTTTGTTATACCAAAATTATGATATTTAACTTTTCACACTAAATCTTATAACAACAAAACAAAACTAACTTTTAACTTATCCAACTAAACCATGTCACAAAAGTACACAACTAACTTGGCAACTTTGAATAATGTAAGTTTTACTACAACTTAAACACTAAAATAGAAAACAGAATACTTCAACCTCTCACAACATAACGAATTCTTTTACAACAATTTAATTACTAAAACAAATAAAACAACATAGAACATAAACTTCTAGGTCTTCTTCCACTTGATGGTGTTCTTCAAAGCACCCTATAATACCATATTATTGAGCCTCAAAACTTCAACCTCTTTTTTGACTTCTTTCATCTCTTGACTAAGCACATATATCTTCCATTGATTCTTCATCAAGGTTTGCTCCTTTTCACCTCTAGCTTCTTCATAGAGCCATTCAAAAAATCCACAACCAACATTGTTATATCCCAGTAGAGATTGAGAATGCAAACTGCAATGAATTACATAGACATTTCAACAACGTTCAACTTATCTTATTCAGACTAAATGCTGACAACCCCAAAAAAGATTTTCATAATTGTTGATATTTTTTGTCTTATGAAGTATAACATTGTCTCCACAATGACATAGAGGCTTCCATGGAAATTTAGAACTGCTTAAGACATACGATTCACTTCGGTTTCTAGATGATGTTGATGAATCGTGTATAGAACTCATGATTAGATGATGATTTAGGTTTCAATTAGGGGATTTTGGGAAGAATTTTGCATTAGGGTTGAATTTGGGGGAAAATATAAAAATGTTTCAGCAACAAGGAAGAAGAAGGTGATGAATAGACAATCCACCTATCCACCTCAGCTTCCACGTCATCTGAATTAACGTCGTTACTCATTTTTTGACATAAAGGACCACTTTGGTTCTGCTAGACAACGTAAGAGACCATCTTGAAACTTTTAAAAGGAAGAGGACCAAAATGGACCCCGAGTTATAGGTAGAGGATCAAAAATGATATTAAGCCTAAAAATAAAATCAATGCATCAATAACAAGTCTATAATTTTTTAAATTAAAAAATAAAAAACTTATGATCATTTAAAAGAAAAGAACTACATTTTCCTTTTTCTTTTTGTCCCTTTGAATTCAAAGTTTTATTTTTAAATTTTATTTGATAAGACAATAACGAGCTAAAAATGTAAAACTCAAAATTAAAAAACAATAGAAATTGTATTTTTTTTAAAAAATAAATTAAGTAAAAGAAAGAACAAATATCTAAAATATATTCTACTTCATATACTAGAATATAGAGTAAAAATAAAAGTATTTCACTTTACCAATTTACCAATTGGGAGTTCACCACATATTCCTACATTTATCCCCTACTTCTATATTTTACAAAATATTTCAAAATTTTCCTTGTGATATATCAACTAATTTATCATTTTACTATTTATGATTTATTCAAGTTTTTCAAAATTTTATGGATTTTACACCCTCACATTTGTTTATTGGATAATTCTGAGATAAGTTATCCGATACACTTTTCTTCTTTATCAAATAACTTGAAGTTGTGTTTTTCGATTTATGTTTTGTTTTCTTGGATAACTTATTAGTGTGTTATCCAGTTTGTATTTTGTTTTGCTTATATACTGGATAATTTGGTATGATGTTATCCGGGGAATTTCATTTTATGGACCAAATAACTTAATGATAAGTTATCCAATAGGTTATTTTTATAAATTTTTTAAAACTTTTTTTATGTCGCAAATATGAAAATTTCCTTACAGATATGCGTTAAAAATCAAATATATATAGATATCTCAAATACATTATCAACTACACAAAATTTTGATACACAAGAAGAAGTGATAAGGTGGATTAAAGAGGCTGAAAAGTAATTATTTTTATCACTCATTCAGACATTGAAACAGACAAGAGAGGAAGAAATAACAAAATAATATTTGGTTGTGATAAAGGTGAGAAATACAAGGAACCAGATAGTGGAACACAAAGTGCCACTAAAAATACGGTTGTCCATTTAAAATTATGTTAACACTGTCGAAAGATGGTTCTGGATGGAAGATTGATGTAAAATGTGAATTTTATAATCATGGTTTACCTAATAGATTTAAGGTCATTCATTTGTTAGTCGGTTAAGCAGAAATGAGCAACAACATGTTGTTGATTTAACAGAGTATCATGATCTACCCAGACACATATTGATGTCCTTGATTTGACAAAGTGTCATGTTCTACCCAGACACATATTGGTGTCTTTACAAGAGCAAGATCTGGATAATGTCACTTTGATCACGCAAATATATAAACATAAGAATAAGTTACAAAAAGAGATAAGAGATCCTATAATATAGATACAAAACTTGTTTAAACTGATCAATGATGCTCGCTATGTTTATCGGAGTAGAAAAAGAGATGACTCAGATGTTATGAGAGATATTTTTGGGGCCCGCTTAGATTCAATCAAGTTGTTGAATATTTTTTCTATTATGCTGGTTATAAACAACACGTACAAGAGAAACAAATATAGACGACTTCTATTTAAAATGATTAGCATGGCGTTAACCTAATTGACATTTGCGGTTGTGTTTTTCTATATGGAATATGAGAAGACAAAGAACTTTTGTTGATTGTTGGATAAGTTGAAGTCATTATTTTTTAAAGAAAAGTTGTGTTCACAAGTGATATTGAATGATAAAGATCTTGCTATGATTCTCGAATGGGTGTCATATGACATTAACAAGTGTTAGCTCAACCAATATAGGTTTCAACTCATCCATCTTCAGTGTTCTTTGCTTATACACCCATCTCATTGTCCGAGGATGTTCATAACTACTAGTTGCATTTCAATTTTCTCATCTTTTTCCAACAATTGAAAAATACTCATGAATCCAACACTGTTACAAAATTAATACTATCTATAAAAAAATTATAAATAAAAATAATTAAACTAAATACAAATAAATATATGTAGTAGAGTAGCATATTCGCTGAGCTGCTTGTAATTAAACATGGAAGCATCTCCTAGATATCTATAGAGTGTGACCAACGCAACTGCTCCTTAGCTATATCTCCTCCATTTAACCAAGTCTTTAAATGGTAGTAGATACATTGACTCACCAATAATAAAAGTCTTGTAGGGAAAAATTGTGCAGCATACCAACATGCCATATATGCTTTGGTAGCATAGTCCCATATATAAGCAGATCTATGACATATAAATAACTCATACATCTATTCCAGCTTATAATAAGCATCCTTGCAAGCACGAACATGTATTACTACATCTTCAATGGCACTCCCAAGAAATCAACAACAAGACCAACAACATCTTTTTTAGTGACACCTGGTGGAGAGGCAAATAACTCACCCTTGATCAGAAGATGAAATAGACAAGAAACATCGTCCAATTTAATGATCTCATCACCAAATGACATGTAAAATAACGATGTCTCTAGATGTCTTCTCGCTACAAATGCTGATACTAAGTTTTGGTTTATCCTCGACAAACTGATTTTATAGAGTGAAGATAGACCAGAGTCACTCAACAACCTCCTATAAGCTTGCTCCCGTGACCATCAACCTTGAGTTCTTTCTTTGTACCTTTTTTTTAAAAAACAATTTAAAGTATATATATATATATATATATATATATATATATATATATATATATATATATATATATATATATATATATATATATATATATATATATATATATATATATATATATATATATATATATATATATATATATATATTATAAAATATGAAATTAAAATTAAAAATTATATAAAATAAAGTGATTTCCATTTACTTACCTCGTCGAACCAAAAATGGCGAGCATCATGATGCTCGTACTTTACCAGAAGAGTCGTAGGATCCTCTTGAAAACCGTAATGGTTGTGGAACATATGCAAATATTCATCCTCGCCATCCATCGCCTCTCGAGCGCCCGTCCTACATATGCACGTATTGAGATCCAACCGTCACGTCATTGGGTTCGCGTCATTGACAAGAAACAAAACACGTTATTAAATTTATAAAAATATTTAAACCGAATCTTTATTATCAAAGACAACCGATGGCTAAAAATTTGGCCGCCTCAGATAACTATGAGGTAAATGGTTCGATAGTTTATTTTTTTCACCAAATAACTTCTGTTTAAGTTCTTCAAAGGGAAATTTTAAATCATAATATCAAATAACTTACTTCCAAGGTTACAATATATGTATCAGATAACTTTAAAGTAAGATTTCTAATGACTTTTCTAATTAGATAACTATGGAGGAATATTTTCAATTTTATGTCTATGGACCGAATAACTTGGATTGAAGAGTTCTGGTGATTCGGAAAACATCAAAAAAAAAAAAAAAAAAAAGGAAAAAAGTTAAAATTTAAAACAAATAAAGTATCTATACAAAGGCATTTGAGTGAAATCTAGTATATTATAGGGGTTGAGAGATAAATGTTAGGGGTATGGGTAAAGTCTTCTTGGGAGCTCTACCATAAATTTGGGCCTAAAATGCACATAAGAGCCCAACGACATTAACCAAACCAATAACCCATTTCTATCATCACTATATCCTCCTTCGCCAGTGTCTGAAAAACCAACTAAACCCTCATTTCACACCTTCAATTCATCACCAATACACAGAAACTAAACCAAAACCAGTTATCTTCTTCGATTCACAAAAGAAAACACAAAGCAAAAACCCAACATCAATGGCTCCGAATTTGGAATGTCGCATGTACGAGGCACGATACCCAGAAGTAGACATGGCAGTGATGATACAGGTCAAGAACATAGCCGACATGGGTGCTTACGTTTCACTTCTCGAATACAACAACATCGAGGGTATGATTCTGTTCTCCGAACTCTCTCGCCGTCGAATTCGTAGTGTTAGCAGTCTCATCAAGGTGGGTAGAATTGAACCGGTGATGGTTCTTCGTGTTGATAAGGAAAAGGGTTACATCGATCTCAGTAAACGTAGGGTTTCTGAAGAAGATATTCAAGCTTGTGAAGAAAGGTATAATAAGAGTAAACTTGTTCACTCTATTATGCGTCATGTTGCTGAAACCTTGAATCTCGATTTAGAGGTAACCCTAATAAAACCCCTGATTTTTTTCTTATATTTTTTTGCTGGAATTTTGATTCTGTTGATTGAATATGTATTGGGTTTGTGTAGGACCTTTATATTCACATTGCTTGGCCTTTGTACCGCAAATATGGACACGCCTTTGAGGTAAACGTTTTCATTACAAGTGTCTGTGTATAAGCTACTGCATTTTGATAACATAAATTGAAATTAAGTTAATCTTTTTTCTTGCTGTTTTCATAAGAGATTCTAGAGAGCTTATGAAATAAGCTAGGATATGCGACATGTTTCAAAATTGCTTATATTGGAAGATAACCTCGAATTAGTCAATACAAAGGGAACTTTATCTCATGGACTTTGTTTGATGCAGGCTTTCAAAATAGTTGTGACTGATCCGGATACAGTTTTGAGCACACTTATGCGGGAAATTAAGGAAGTTGGTCCTGATGGACAAGAGGTGACCAAGGTGGTACCTGCTGTTTCTGAAGAAGTGAAGGATTCTCTAGTGAAGAACATTAGAAGACGGATGACCCCTCAGCCATTGAAAATCAGGGCGGATATTGAAATGAAATGTTTTCAATTTGATGGAGTTATCCACATTAAGGTCTTAATCATTTCTATTATGTGGTTGTTATTTTAGTTTGAGTTATTAGCTATGGCTTATCTTTTAACGCTTTATCATGCTTTATAATTATTTGGTTTTGCAGGAGGCAATGCGGAAGGCTGAAGCTGCTGGAAATGAGGACTGTCCTGTGAAAATTAAACTTGTTGCTCCCCCACTTTATGTGCTTACCACTCAGACTCTTGACAAGGTTGGTGCAATGTTCAGATAAACTTTGATTTCATAATTGCTTTTGGACTGAATTGACTACACATTTGGATTTTGAGGCTATCAAGATTATGGTTTACAGATGTATGAATTTTCTAGGGATGTTTGTGTTATTGGATTGGATTGTGGGGGTATTTTCATTTTAAAACTAGGTCAGCTGTTGTTTTTCCCTATTATGATTGCCATTAAAGCTATTATGCTGTTGACTACCTAAACCTTTTGTTGACTGCCAAAAGGTGAATCAAACGGATTCTGGTTTATCCGGTTATCCCGAACTGAAACAAACCATGTGCAACTGGCTTAAAAAACCTATCCTTCCACCAAACTTTTTCTGTGTATGAATTTAACATCTACTATAAGCCAAGCTGTTTCTTTGATTCAAAAAATAGTTTTAGATGTTCTTGTTGAAGTTTATGGGTTTTAGATAAAGTTAGGGCACATAGACTCAAGCCTAATTAAATAGGTTGAATAATGCTATGATATTGCAGCTTCTAGGATCATTTGGGTTAATAGAACAGATTCGGACTATTTGCCTGAGTTCAAAAACTAGTTCACTAGATTAACACCTACAACTACATCTAAGCTTTTAGACTCACCTTGGTTCCCAACACTGCAAAAAAAAACAACTGAACTCATATTTTGTCATTTAGAACCTAGCATAGCAGTAATTGTATCAGCAAGTTATACAGTATCAAGGAAAACCAAAGATCTTCCTACAACTAATTAATGCTCCTGAGACGAAACTCATTGGGATCGGGACTGCACTTTGAGAATAAATCTGATTTACTACTAGTATTCTACATACATAGTTTAATTCACTAGCTAGCTATGCTATTTGAGTCGTGGCCAACCTTGAATGGATAACTTTCATAACTCATTATTAAATGCTGTGTTGAGGTTTATATCAGGGATAGATTAAAAAAGCTTACACTAAGGAATGATGGAGTCGTTTGGGTTCAAGAACAAAATTTTTGTGAGCAAGTGAGAGCAGAGTGAAGCATCCATTCATAGGCTCTAGAGGAATAGTGAGAAGTGCGAATGAGTGCACAGATAGATTGAGTTGGAGATGTTAAATTAACTGTAGTCATTAGCATTTCAATTCAGTGAAATGTGCATACATAAATCCAGTTTGGTTAGTGAGCTGTTTCAAAAGTTCAGTTTTTAAAAGATAGGTTCGGTTCGGTTCTTGATTCACTGCAGTTCTAAATAGTTTGTTTTAACAGTCCTAAAAATATTCGCTCCTAAACATGTATTGTAAAGTTTTCTTTATGTTACTTCTTGTTTAAGCAATTCATACTTTGTTACAATCTTGACAGGAGCAAGGAATATTGGTTCTCAACAATGCCATTACCTGCTGCACTGAATCAATAGAAAAACACAAGGGTAAACTTCTGGTGAAGGAGGCAGCCAGAGCGGTGAGTGTCACAATCCTCTCTATATCCTTTATCTTCTATATATACATGCATTAAATTGTCTATAGTTTGGATTCTCTTCTATTTTTTTTAATGGTGGGAAGAGAATTGACAATACATTTGTGGTTTTAGGTGAGTGAACGCGATGATAAACTGCTTGCTGAACATATGGCTAAGCTACGCCAAGACAATGAAGAGGTCAGTGGTGACGAAGACAGTGAAGAGGAAGAAGATACTGGAATGGGTGCAGTTGATGTGGACAATGGTAATGCGATAACTGAGTGAGAAATAGCAAGGCTTTACTAATTTTGTTAGTATTCTTTTTGATCTCTTTGATTGTGGTTGTATAATACAAACTCGGAATTTCTCGAAGAGGGTGTTCAATCCAAACTTAGGAGTGTATGCCGGTTAAAAACGCCACCTTATCTCCCTTCCTTGTTGCTTGCAATTTATGATGAGATATTAGTTGAACACAGCACACTCGAATAACACCTGCAATTCTTATGATTTTAATTTTCCACAGATAAATTGTTTACTTTTCATATTTTAAATTAATTTACTATGAATTGTCCATGATATGATAGTCACTAGCTTGTGATTATTAAATCGGTTAAGGTTCCAGTCATATCGATACCATTTCCATTATTCCATGTGTTGGTTGCCAGCAAACTTGGAAAATGTTTAGCAATCTCACTGTTATCTACGGTCTCATTATTACCGTCCGAAAAATATATAATTGTCGTCATTTTATACTTTTTGGAAGGAGTAAGGAAAAAAAAACATTTTTATGTGTGTTTCAGTGTAATACATTTTTTTTGGTTTATTATATGCAATGTCGTTTTTACTTACAGCCATGTGAAATGGAGTTTTAGGACTAAAATTAGAGGCAATATACTTTTAATAATTAAAGATTTGCATCCTACAGTGAGACTGATAACACTTGTAGTTCTTATGCCAATTTTTCAGAGATAATTTGTCTTAAACTATTATTACCAATCTACTAAATACTTTAATGTGTTTGACTGATTTTTCCCAACAATTTTTATTTTATATTTTCAAAATATTTTTAAAACTGATTTTTATTTTAAATTTTCAAAATAATCTTAAACTTGATTATAATCAGCAACCGCCATACGAACTGTGCTGGAGGCAGATTTGGTGACCACCACCCCATTTATTATATAAAAATATTTAAAAATGATTTACTTTGTAAATAATAAAAAAATTCCTTTTCAAAATAATATATAAAACATTATAAAATAAAAATACATCTACTATCAACCCTTCAAAATACTATTGCATGATTTTACATAATTGTCCTTTTCCTAAATTTTATTTACACTACCAAATAGACAAATAAGTAATTAACAAATGTAACAAATAAATCTCACACAAACCTCTATTTGCATGACAAATGTCAATTAACCATTGGTTATCTCAAATTTTCTCCTTCCTACCAAAACTATTCTCTCTTCGGATTTCTCTCACTCTCTCTCGTTTTTTATCGCTCTCAATTTTCTCTTCTTTCCTCCACAAACCCTAATTCTGCCCTTTCTCTGTTTTCTCTCTTTTTCTCCATAAACCGTAAATTCGCCGCTGTCCCTTTGATGTTCAGAACTTTTCTTTTCTTTCGAAAATGATCTTTGAGAGACATGAGGAGTACATGTATGTTAATCTAGTTCAAGAAATTTGGTTTTCTTATTTTTATTTACCTGTTTCTTTCTGTTTATGCAGATCGAGCCGTCAACATGGACCACAGATCGAGCATGATGATTGATGAAGCTTTCACTCATGGTCATCCTCAAAGGTTCTACCTTTTTGAATATCTACTGTAGTTTTATAATTTGTATCAATTATATGTTTTGTTCTGTTTAAAAATTTTACTGTTAATTCTAGGCACTAGCTAATATGAACACGCACGCCACCTGTTCGATTAATTGCATCACTCATGTTTTGCCATGAACTTCTGTATTTGATGACTTTAGTCTTAATTCATTTATAGTTTTTGTATGGATCTTCAGGATTTCCTTATTCATGCGAGTCTTCAAACTTTACAGACAAGCTTTGAGAGTTGTCGGTCGAGCAATAATGTGTTTTCCCTCTTACTTGAACTTCCGACAATAATAATAAGGTATGCTAAGTTATTTTAACTGCAAATGATTATAACATTCATGAGTTATAGTTTTGGATTAGATTGATCAGTTGTCATTATTGTTATATATATATTTTGTATTTGTATATGTCATTGTTGAATTGTTTGGCTAAATAGAAATCCCCTAATCATATTCCATTTTTATAGTTACAATGTATTTGAATTGCACCTTACAATGTTTTCTTAAAGACAATTTTTGATGCATTTGATGTTGATTCTCTATGTCATTTCCACATATGACCTTGAATACTTTCTTTTTTTCATGTTGCTTCTCAATCATTTTTGGACATTTACTTATTAGACTTTATCGTTATACAATGTGAAAATTAACCATATCTTTTCCTTCCTCTAGGATAGGATGCTGCAACCCCGCGAACTTGAGGAATTGTTTTCCAATGCCTTAGAAAGGTAAACTGCTTTCTTCCAAATACGTGTCTAAATAGATGTACTTTAATTTCCACCATGAAATGGTGGGTTTATTTGCACTGGTTTCATATGAAGTTGATAACAGAGCAGTATGATGTGGTGGAATCTTTCTTTATGTCGTGTAACTTTTCAAATGTACACATGACACATGCTTTAAAGATGTGGTATATAACTTTGCTTTTTCAGTGTTTTTATGAAGTTCAACTATGGCATTTTTTATGTATATATGTCTTTCTCAAGTCTATATGTAAACGAGGACTCTTGACAAAATTATTTTATGCTTATAATTTTTAATTGCACTCCTTGGATCGGAAATCCATACAAGGATGCTTTAGAAAGGAATGCTTTTTCAGGATTATGACTTGATGCATTTTTGTCAGAGGTGCATAAGTTTTTTATCTTTCTCTCCACTCCCTCTTAAATTTTGTTAAACAATATTTTGTAGAGACTGATGGGTTTCTACAAACAGTTTTATCACTTAATTTGGATACTGTTTTGAGATTCAAGGTTTCCTCAGTTTTACATGATATATGACTTTATGTCTGGTCTGTGTATCTTTTTAGTGCATATAACATTAAATTTACATCACCATTGATTTGTTAAATCCGAGGCACCGGCTACGGTGCCTACTAAAAATGGATCAAGCATCAATTAGCTTCTTGGTATTAAAGGAGCTTCTCAAGAATCAGTGAGTTAAACTCAAACTTAGCTTATTGCAATTTTTTTTATTCTCTAATTTGTATTTGAAATTTTGTTTTCAATTTTCATTATGGATGGATGTTTGAAATGCTTATAATTAGACTTTGGTCCTGCTTGTAGTTTGGACAACAACTTGATTAAGTGCTTTTGTATAATTTCTGTAACGTAAGATAAAATAAATCAAACAATTTTCATATAAGCTATAAGCTACTTTCATTAGTCAGTCTGAAGAGCTTGCAGAAATAAGCTGAAACAGTTTATGGACTATATAACTAATAAATTATTTTTATATACCTGAGCCCTTAGTAGATCGTATATCTACCACTAATCCAACTGAATATGCACCCGAGTACACTTCTGATGTGTAGAGCTGAAAATTTATATTTAGACTTCAGACATGTTTGAGTTTCCTGCATCAACTTTCTCACAAGCCTATGATTTCATTCGGTGTCAAAAGGGAACCGTTTAGTTTGAAACCAAGTTTTGCAGATATACACCCCAAAATATTTGTTTTTATAGCGGGTCTAATATGTAGTTTTGAGAAACAAAATTTTTCTTATTGTATAAGGTAACTTGTGTTGCATTTTTTTTTCCAATTGATGGTGAATTCGCTTCTAAACAATTTGATGTATTTTATTCATGTAATCATCTGAACAGGTATATCTTGCTTCCGATGTATCTGAGTTTATTCCGACTTTCTAATTTTAACAAACACACTCGCTTAAACCATTCATATTTATAGCTATTTATCATTGTGCTAATGGAGAAAACAGACGGTTACACACTGAAATTAATGGCAAGGAACCAATTTGATAGATACCTGAAGTTTAACTAAAAACATCAAGCATTCTGGTGATGATTTCCAATTAGATTATCAAAATATTGGTATACATGTTCATCCATTGGTAGTAGGTTGCTTATTTGTTTTGATTTGTGAAAACTGTAAAAGTAAATTGCTGCCAATTTAATTGTAAATATAACATATAGTATGTTGGATTATCCTTAAAGTTTTTGTTAGGGAAATATGTATAAACTGAAATTCGTTATTTTTTCTATACCCAAAAGAAATATATTTTCTAGCCAAATGATTATGAATGATATTTATTTTTGTAAAGTTGGAACTGAAGATTAGTATAAGACAGTGTGGTAATTGAATATTGCAGAAAGTTACGATTTGTTCGAAATCTGCTAGGCTATAGTCATAATTTAACAACACTTGCATGAGGCCTTGCTCATGGTCTGCTTGATTGCTAGCAGTAGTACTACTATTACAAGTAACAACATTTATGGAATTTTTGGCAGTTGTTAAGTTTCACATGTCACTTATCTTTTCCACTACTAATTATAATTATAATTTCATGAAACTCTGAAAAATTGGCTTAATCTTCTGAAATTTCATTGCAGGTTGTTCTTATCAGTTACATACTCAAGGGGAGGCTCCCAGTTACTTTGAAGCATGGTAAACCTGATCATGAAGCTACAGATGTAAGAAACATTGTTCAAAAAATTAAGCTTGTGAATGAATTTTGTTATTTACATAAAGTTTATTTACCATCTCTTGGCTGATACAAAATGGTCCTTTTAATTACAGCATAAAAACTATTTTAGAAGCCTTTTTCCATTGAATATGCAGAGATAATAGGGTGCTTTGCTTTTATTATGTGTGTTTTGTGTTCTAATAAAACAATGCAAATCCTTTTGCATATTAGTGTGAAACTAATACTTTTTTTTTTTTTTTACATTTATGCAGGCTGCAAAGTTGCATTCTCCGATTCACTATCCAAAGGTTGATGGTGTCTTGTCTTTCAATGTACCTACCTCTCTGCACAAGTATTTTAACATTAATTCCCTCCTATTGCTTTCTATTAAGAATTCAATATAACCATCTTGAAGTTGCATTATAAATATGCACTGATTTATAGATGTCGTAATTGTTTGTCCCTTCTTCTCTCTTTAGGGCTTTGATAAATGATAAGTTATTGAATTATTTGTCAACATGCATAATTTC